CCTAAGTATTCTTTACCGATCATGAGCAATCTTATTACCGTAAATCCCTCCCGAGTAATTACGACAATTTACTAGACGCACTCTCCCAAGCTACGCTAGCTGGCTTTTAATACAGCTCACTTCAGATCGCACCCAAGGCTTCGTTATCCCTAATCCCACATTTAAACCCTCGGTTATTGATCCCTCGTATACTCTGGGAGTGGTGTTGTTCAACAATTACCTAAATATGCACTCTCACCCGACTTATGCATACTAAATAGGCACAACTAATTGAGAGCTCTTCAATCAACCACAATATAAACGTAGTTGAACAAATAGAGAAAAGCTATGGCTCAATTATATAAAAACATAACAAGAATTTATCCTACAAAAGGTTCTATCAAAACTCTAGATAACAAATTAGCTATTCATAATAGTATGTAAAACTACAATACTAAAAGTCATAACCAACAATGAAAAATAGGAAGAGGAAGGAAAAACTCGTAGAAGAATTCTCCGCCTTGCTCCCAATGTGTTCTTGCCTCCTTAGGTCGTATCTATGTCCAAAATATGTCCCCTCTTCTTCAAAATAGGTTTAGGACCCCTTTTATACAAGTTGAAATAGTGTAGGGCCGAAATAAACTTGTCCCGGGCAAAATAGGAATTCTTTTCGACGCCTGGAGGGGCGCGGCCGCGGTCAGACAAGCTCTCTGATTTCTGCCGCGGTCAGTTCCGCGGTTGCGGTTTCGACCGCATTTTTTACCCTATTCTGTTTGGAATTTGGAAAAACGTAAAACATGAAAGTTGTAGCCCTTTGAATTATTTTTCCAACCATATATTGTGGAGCCCAAATGGAGTTCTGAGCAAAAAGTTATGTCTATTTTACTAGACAGTACGCAATATGCCTCCTCAAGTCTTCGTTCGTACTTAATTATCAAATTTGACCCCCGAACACGATCCCGGATTAATTCCTTGAGCTTTTACTCAGACTTCAAAGCTTCAAATCACTTAAATTCATTCCATAACATCTATATAGCTCGGAATCACACCTACAATGCATAAAACACACAATTAGTGCAAAACACTAGCGATTAAAGCGCAAACTCAATTAAAGTACAATAAATTCGAGTGTAATAAGCGACTAAAATATGCAATTATAGCCTATCATCAACATGGCAGGTGAGTGGGCCCATATTCACCTTTGATATTTCCAGCATTCACGTGATTCAATCCCAATTTTAGTTGGTATATTAATTAATGAGAACAAGCAACATAAGAGAATTCGTAAAGAACATTCAAGTTCTTTAATATTTACCCATGTGAATTCTCTTTTATTTTTGCACATCATACTTAAATTGATATGGGTAAACCAATTATGTTAACTCAATAAATTATCAATATTGATAAACTTCAGATTTACACCATGACGTGTGCAATTATCAATAAACTCCAAGTTTATTATGATATGGATTTTTATATCAATAAACTTCTCTTTATTGTGGCATTCTTTTGTTTGTGTAGTACAAACTGGAGAATAAAGCTGGTAGCTTTTCACATACATATTATCCTGCTACAAGTTGTAGTAATAGAAGATATTAAGTCTTTCCTTTATTTATAGTCTCAATATAATCAACCGCTTTCGTGTATACTTTAGAAACTAAATAAGTTTCTTTGAGACTTACTACGATAATTTTATTTCTCCAAAATAGTAATAATTGGCTCTTCCAGAGCTCTCAATTAATCTGGTACTACCGCATATTCATCAATATGGTAAATATCTCTTTTAAAGAGAAAGTTATACTATTATGGTTATGGTCAAAATTATATGCAAGTTCTGTTTCTTGCATTATGCTTTCTTTTAATAATCACAATGCCAAAATATTTTGGCGTACAATAAGTACGTGACCAATGACCATTTATGCCACAATAATGACATTATTTTCTTATTTCCTCTCAAACCTCCTTCTACAGGTGAGTGTGGTATATACCACTAGCACGCTCATATTCTTCCAAAAATGAATATGTATTCTTAAATCAGATGTTGTCACATTCACATCATGAATGGACCATAATCATCTATATGTGCTTTATAAAATCTCATGTCAAATCGATGACAAATATTTTCACAAAGTGGGGGATTATTTTGAGAATCCTTATTATTCTCATTATCACAATGATGACGATTATAATTTCGTCTATTGCCACGTCTACGTCCATTGATACACTCATAGTGATAATTTTGTCTTCTTTCAGACTTATCACATACTGCTATCACATTCTCTTAAGGGAATGAGAATGGAGCAAATTCAATGGGACGGGTTTCCACTTTTTGTGCCCATAATCATACATGAATTTGATCATGGCAAGACATAGAAATTTTTACCACTTCAAGTGGTTATAATTTCTTACAAACTCCACTAGAGTTATAATCAAACTTTGTTGTCTTTGCTTGTATATAAAATCAAATTATAGAATTTTAAGAATTTAAAAGAGAAAAATAAAGTAAAATACTTACCTTAAATTCAGAATTTAATCATGAAGGAAGTTCATGGAATAATTGACAATCATTATGCTCAATCCCAAAGCTTCTACTCAATTGGTTAGAGTCTCGTGCTGATAACGTGTTATGAAACAATAAAAGAAGAAGAAGAGTATTGCAGAGAAAAGTAGAGAGAGAGAATTCTTATTGATTTGGGATGATCACAATGGAATAGAACCCTCTATTTATAGGGAGAGGGTGACTTAGCCACCAAGTAATAAACCCTAGAATCTCTCTAAATATAGACATTCACCATAAATAAAATTCTATTTATAACATTCCTAAACTTTCACTCTCATTAAATAACAGATTTTCTTTACTCTTTGGAGTATTAAATGAGTTTTATGTTGCCTTAACTATTTGGTAATAAATTTTTTTTACTGTTGCATAAGAAAAGTTTATTGTGAAATTGCACAAGGAAAGTTTATTGCACGGGTAAAATAGAACCATCAGTGGTTCCGTTGCACACAAGGAAAGTGTTTAAAGAATTTGACTTGCTGGACACAAGGAAATATTTTGGTAGAAGTTTTTATTATTTGGTAAATTTTTCTTGTCTCTTTGACCTACACACAAATTTACTTTATATAATTTCTTTTATGTTTCAAATTGTGTACCATAATACTTCTATAAAAGAAGCTACAATGTCACAATTTAATCATCAAAGTTCGCCCTATTCCAACATCGCGATTTCAGATGTTGTTTCTTTTACTAATATCAACATCTTTTGCTACTTCGTATTTTGCAAGCACGTTTGCATGCACCAGTTTTTAGTGTTGTATCAATAATTTATTTTTATTGTTGCATCAACAATTTTTTAATATATAGTTTTTGTTTCATGTTTTTGACTTGGCTAATTTCACATCTGTAACGTAATATTTTTCATTTAGTATTTAAATAATATTAAGTTACTAGATGTTAGTTTCATTTCGGATGTAGATAATACTATTAAATTCCTAAAATATTAGGCGTTGCTACATAGTTTAAAGGATGAAAGATTTAATAGTCAAAACTTAGAAAAAATACCTAAATATAATTATACGAATTTTTATCTAATTTTAAAAATATTTTTAAAGGATAATGATATTAGAAAACTAGACAAAATTAGATTATCGTCTACATGCCAAATGTTTTATTTGTCATAAAGAACATATATGAATATGTTGTAATAATATAATTATTACATAAAGGGTGTGTTTGGTACGAAGGAAAATGTTTACATGAAAATATTTCAAAAGCTTGTTGTTTTTTAAAATTTTATTTTATAACTCATCACATAAGTAAATATTATTTATGTAAATTATTTTAAATTTTATCATCAGTATGGATACACGCGCAAAGCGCGTACCTTAATACTAGTAGGTTTAAAAGAGGGTAAATGGAAAATGGAGGGAAAATGAAATTTTAAGTTTCCCCCTTGACAATGGGACATTGTCCCATATTGGAAGAGAAAAAGGTTTTTGATGGTTATATATACAATTGCTCTTCTTCTAGCTCTTAAAGAGTTAAGAAGAAGGCAAGAGTCGCTCGCTCGGCTCAGTTTGGCTTCAGATTCGGTCAAATGATCAACAGAATATTAATATTAAATACAACGGAAATATTAAACGTTTTATTTTCGTTTTTCGGTTTTTTAACTGAAAATTAACCTCCCTCTTCAATTCCCGGTTTATTATTGCGTAAATAGGCATTTATGTTATGGCCGTTTTACATAAACAACCATTCTGAAGAGTTGCACCTCTTCCGTTTTGAGCTCAACATCCATTCTATCAGATTTTCCATACGATTTTCTGAATTCTCCTCCTTTCTTCTGCATTGTTTTAACTTCAAAGAAAGCAACAGTAAGTGTTATTTGCTACCGAACTTTGTGTTCGCTGAAACACTGGGGTTTGAAGTACCACTACACCAGTGTGTAATTCATTCTATCCTGGGAGGAAATAATCCACAACCTTGGGTACTAGGAGGGGGTTAAATTCCTTAAGGAAACACTGTGAATTCAGTGGGCTCGGATTAACTCCAGTTTTGTTTATATTTCTGTTTATATGTTATATTATTTTCTCCAAAATTATTTTACAAATACAGTATACTAACATAAGCATACTTGGGTATGATGTACTTGCTATGCCAAAAGCAAAATTTGCAATGTGGTTACCACTACAATGTGATAGATTGAACAAATGGGGTTCGAATATGGATTTATGTTACGCATTATGTCACATTCAATGAAGGGGAGTCTTGGCGTAGCTGGTAAAGTTGCTACCATGTGATCAAGAGATCACATGTTCAAGCCGTGAAAACAACCTCTTGCAGAAATGCGGAATAAAGCTATGTACAATAGACCCTTGTGGTCCGGCCCTTCCCTGGACCTCGCGAGTTTAGTGCACTATGCTACCTTTTTGTTATGTCACACTCATGATATCAAACATGGAAGATAACTATTCTTAATTACCAAACATATTGCAGGTGTCTAGTTGGAACACTCAAAATCTGCAAACTAATATTTAACTAGGAGATGAATAGTAAATTTTCGAATTGAGTACTAAATAACCTTCCTTCCCAGCTACTCCTAACTCTATCTTACATGAGAAGGTTAATAAATGGCTACTCTAAGATGACAATACATGCATTCTTTCCATGTAGCTCGCTTTGTATTTCCAAGGTTAGCAGAGAGGGGAAATTTACAAATAACAAAGAATATGAGCAGCTAGAAATATTACAATGGAATAACACGTCGCTGCTCTTATCTTGGTATCATCTCGGTTACACTCTGATAACTATGGAACTCTGTTGTTGCAAATTGATTTATAGATTTTATGCCTTCCTTTCCATTGGAGGATGAAGTCAGGAAACTACCATAACTCCATTGTTTAGAGCTATGTGGTCTATATACTCCTGGCTCAGTTAACAACTTCTCGTTTAGCTTGACGTCTTTAGACAGCATTTCAATTACTTGTTTCATGTTAGGTCTATGGCTATAAGCAGCTTGGATACAAAGGAGAGCGACTTTGATGAAGCGTAGAACTTCAGCCTCGGGATACTCTGTCAGCTCCGGATCAACAACATCTAGAAGCTTCCCTTCTTCTCTAAGTTTCCATGCCTGCAGAAGTTTAAAACCGTCAAGAAATCAGTATAGAGGAGATGATCTCTTTGTATAATTGTAGTGGCAGGCCATATGCTGTGTATTTTCAATACTAACAACAACAACATACCCAGTATATTCCCAACAAGTGGGGTCTAGGGAGGGTAATCTGTACGTATACCTTACCCCTACCTAATGAAGGTAGAGAGGCTGTTTCCAATAGACCCTCGGCTCGGAAAGAAGAATGTGTATTCAATACTATGTGAGGAATTAATACTTTTCACATCCCTTTAAGATACAAACTCTATAAAGGATTTGGGTTAATGTAGGTTGATGACGGGCTAAATGAATACATAAATGTGTATAGCCGACCCCAGCTAGTTTGTGATTGATGATTAATTGATTGATATTGTGTCCTTTAAGATCCAAAGAACTTGTAAATGGTCCAGCAAATGCACGACTTTCGGACAAACATCACACAAGAAAGGAAACTCTGTGCATCGTCAACTTTCTTCTTTATTTTTCAGTAAGAAGCATTAGGAAAGCAATTTGCTTTCCTGAACATGATATCAACAGATTCTTGGAATTGCAGCGAGCACATCATGTGAACGATTAGTTAAAACACAGAACCATGCACTTGAACTCACAATTTTCTGATGACCTGGAGTTGATCCAACATAAGGGGCAGCCCGGTGCACTAAGCTCCTACTATGCGTGGGGTCCGGGGAAGGGCCAGACCACAAGGGTCTATTGTACGCAGCCTTACCCTGCATTTCTATAAGAGGCTATTTCTACGGCTCGAACCGATAACCTCCTGGCTATATGGCAACAACTTTACCAGTTACGCAAGGCTCCCCTTCAGGAGTTGATCCAACATATAGTAATATAAAGCTATGAACTATGTCTACTTAAACTTAGGAAAGTAGAAGAAAGTCATTTGATGCCAACTAGCAATTTTTGTGACTTGCATCAAAAAATTTATTGCTCTTGATGAAACCTACCCATTCGACCAGTACCAAGAGATCTTCTCCAAATGCTGCGCTACTGCTGCTTCTGCCACTTATAATTTCAAGTACAAGAACCCCGAAACTATAGACATCAGCCTTTTTCGTGAGCTGCCCTAACAAGGCATACTCGGGAGCAAGATATCCTCTGCACAAAAAGGAGATCATTGACAGTCAGAAGAAAGGACGACTTCATGCAGAAAAACAAATAGTTACAGTGCAGAATTGCTTGTGCTCTATTAAAAGATTCAATGTACACTCACATTGTTCCAGCCACTCGAGTACTAACATGAGTGATATTATCAGGAAAAAGCTTCGCGAGGCCAAAATCTCCAATTTTAGGATGTAGATTTTCGTCAATAAGGACATTACTAGCCTTAATATCTCGATGAACAACTGGTGGTTCTGCATCCTCGTGAAGAAATGCTAGACCAGATGCTGTACCCAAACATATAGCAGCTCTCTTGGGCCAATCTAGGGGAACGCGTTTACCTTTCGAACCTGCAATGACAATCATAAATGGTGCTTAGTGATGCACTTAGATGACACTCCTTTCAATACCACAAGCAGATGATCTCAGAGACGCTGGTTAACAGAATTATCAAAATCTAAAAGCACATTCTATAAGATACTTGTAATATTCTTTTAAATTCTCCTCTCCCATTCAACCTTTCCCATAATGGGCCTTATTTTATCGGATTACTCATGCACATTGGCTAAAGCAGACTACTGCAGACTCGTTCGCTACTGTCTATATATGTTCTTTTGGTTCAAATGAATATTTAACTTTGTAAAAAGTACCAAGTAAAGCACTGGCAAGGCTGTTATTCTCCAAGTATTCGTACACCAATATTCTATTGCCACCCTCTATGCAACAACCAATCAACTGAACAAGATTTGGATGTCGGGTATTTGAGATTATATTAATCTCTGTCAACAATTCCCTGGTCCCTTGTTTTGATTCAGCAGAAAGACATTTGATAGCTACAGGCCTTCCATCCCTCAAAATCCCCTGCAATTAAACAATCAAGTTGCTTAAGTACAACTAACAAAACTAAAGTTGGCTATGGAAGAAAAGTTTAGTAACCCATCTTCTACCTATTTTTACATAGCCATTTTTTTGTAAGCACTAAAAGATTGATACAAGTCTCACCTTATAGACAACTCCAAAACCACCTCCTCCTATTTTGTTCGATGGATGGAAATGCCCCGTCGCTGATCTCAATGAGTTATAAGAAAACAGCCTCACATTGTTGGTTGCTAGCTCTAATCCTTCATCGTAAAAGAAGGAAAGTATGTTAACTCTTGGAAGATAAAATTGGAAACGAAAATAAGCAAAAGAATAAGAGAACACGTCTGAAGAGTCTTGAGCAAGTACTCAAACAAGTTAACTCCCTTACAGTTCATACCATACAAAATTTTTGGTTGCACAAAAAGGTATGTAAGACGCATTACTTCTAGTCCCTCTCTATTCTAGAGGAAGTAATCAAACATGTAATTATTTAGTTAGATAGTCCTCCAAGTAGAATAAAGAAGCCAGTTGTAGCATAGACATGAGAATGGCCTTAAAATTGGCATCAGTTCTGAAATACAACAACCCTATCCTGGGGTAGAGAGGCTGTTTCCGATAGACCCTCGGCTCCCTCCCTCCAAGAACTCCCCACCTTGCTCTTGGGGTGACTCGAACTCACAACCTCTTGGTTGGAAGTGGAGGGTGCTCACCACTAGAGCAACTCACTCTTGTCTGAAATACTAAAACTTATTGGATTGAATTAAACTCATATCATCATGACATTAAGACCAAAAGAAGATTACCATATCTAGTTTCTTTTGCTGGTATCCTACATACGCCTCAATCTATATTGGATTTAAATAATACACACTGACAATCTATATTGGCTTTTCCTGACCGAGGCTCTATTGGAAACAGCCTCTCCACCTTCACAAGGTAGTGGTAACGTCTGCGTCGACACTACCTTCCCCAGACCCCACTTGTGGGATTACATTACACTGAGTTTATTATTGTTGTTGTACACTAACAATTTAAAGCGATTTTTACATTACCAATGTAGTTTTACTTGTTGTAACAGATCATTTACCATGTTTTGCAGGTTATGAATCCATATTTGCAATAAAAAAAAGTTACTGAAATTGACTTTTACATAACCTAAAAAGAATGAGATATTTTTTTCTAGTGGTATACATAGAACTTAATTTTCAACATTCAAGCTTTGTAACAGCCTCTAGCAGAAATGCAGGGTAAGGCTGTGTACAATAGACCCTTGTGGTCCGGCCCTTCCCCAGACCCTACGCATAGCGAGAGAGCTTAGTGCACTGGGCTGCCATTATTCAAGCTCGGTAACATATCCAGAGGTTCAAATAACATCAATTTTCATTCTAATCAACGAATTGACAGGCATCAAAGGTTTTCAAGCTTCATCTCACAGTTCACTTAGAATAAGTTTTACATGAAAGAAAAATACTCCATATTAACCAAGAATCAAAAAACAAAGCAGGAGCTAAAACAATTGCTAAATTTGGGTACTAAAGGATTCATGTTAAGGATTAATATAGAAAAGGAAATTAAATAGAAATATCTTTAGTCCAATCTGTAAAAGACAACAATTGTGTCGCTTGTCATGTGAAAGAACATCTTGGAAACAATGCAGAGGGGGATGATGTTACCTTGTACTTGAGTTTCTCTGTTGTCCTTGCACTGCAGAAAAGAACCAAAACAACTAGTAAAACCCATTGCTGAAAAGTTTCAACACCACAGGAACTAACTGGGGTTATTTTAACTGGGGTCAACATATAAGTTATAGGAGTATGACTTTATTATAATTTGAGAGAGACCATAACAAATGGCGTATAAGGAAATGTATAATGATATTTCTAGCTCCTAAGAGGGAGAACTATATATAAATAATGAGAGAGAGAGAGAGTGGTTGGTTGGTTAATTGCCAACAAAGGTAGGAAAAGAGAAGTAGCAGCTGATGCTCACTTTCTATATGTCATTTTCATAAAACCGAAAAATCGAAACAAACCGACTAAAACAACCAGTAATACTTTTTGGATTTTGTTTGATTTTATTTTTAAATTTTAGAAACCGACCAAATTTGATTTGATTTTAATAAAAAAATAATCGAAAAAATTGAATATAGAGGTAGCTATTATTATTGAATATATATATTAAAATTATAGTTTCTATAATTTTATGTTACATTTTAATAGTTTGCACTTTTAGTCTAGTTCTTTGCTTTTACATTATAGTTTGATCAGTAGTTTTCTTTTGCTAAGTACAGGAATTTATTTCATATTAAAAATAATTTGTTTTTAATAGAGTTCTAAAATTATTCTATCATTATTTGATTCAATTATTATCAATATATCTTGGTAAATGATAGATTTCTCAAATAGCAATTGGTTTGATAGTGTTATATTGGAAATGTAGTCGCCGGAATATGTGTTTGGTAGTTTATACCTCATATTTAAGAAAAAACCGATAAATAACCGAAAAATGAACATACACCGATTCGATAAAAACCCCCCCACTTTATAACCGATTTACTTGGTTTGATTTCCTTTTAGGAAAATCGATCAAGACCCAATCATGAACACTCCTATCTATGATAGACATATAGGTATGTGGGAATTTTTTGTTGGAAATTTGATTTTCCAACTGTGCTTGTTTTGTTAATTAATATAAGTACCCTTTTTTCCCAAGTTTGACAAAAAAAAAAAAAATCAACTCCTTTGAAAAAGTTAAAAACAAGGAGTGTTGAAGGTTGAGTCCGAAAAATCAACTTCTTTGCAAAAAAAATAAAATTAAAGACACTTCTCTTATCAAACAAACGAACCTTTATGTCAAAATTTAGTCCAAAAGACAGAAAACATAATTTGCAATTATCAGAGATGATTTACCGTTTAGGGGTGTTATTACGGGGTGATTGAATTTCATTCACCCTTAATTAATACTCTCTCCGTTCCAATTTATGTGTACCTGTTTGACTTGGCACGGAGTTTAAGAAAAAATGAAGACTTTTGGAATTTGTGATTACAAACAAGTTAAAAAGACGCCCAGAATATTTGTGTGGTTATAAAAACTTCTCATTAAGGGTTGAATTGTAAGTTTAAACTAAATTGTTTCCAAATTTAGAAAGGGGTCATTTTTTTTAACAGACCAAAAAGGAAATATGTTCACATAAACTGGAACGGAGGGAGTACTAATTCTGAGTTTGTATTCTTTGAAATTAAAATAGAGAATCTCTGATAGGAAGCATTTTATCTTTTTTTGATAAATATATACATGTGCGAACCTAAATTAATTAGATCAGTGAATTTTGAATACCGAATATTTTGATCCATAGATACGACAAAGTCCAATACTCTCATTTATTTCAGCCTTGACTTGATCCTCGTAATTCAGGACTAGATCAAAAGTCGTACCATCCAAATTGTTGTCAATGTGTCTTACTATGTAGCAGTCAACCTAGGACCTATTTATGAATGATATCCAGGTGAAGAATTCCGAGTCCGAAACCTAAATGTTGTGGTTTTGGACTTAAAATATATTTCTACTGCTAAAAAAAAGTTATATTTCTATATATAATGCGGTATTACACCGCGCTATATTTTAACGGTGTTTCAGCCGTTAAAGTATAGCGCGGTGTAATACCGCGTTATATATAGCGCGGTGTAATACCGCGCTATACCTGTTTGTGGGCCCACCAATAAGTCTCCTACGGTTAACTGACACAACAATAATTCAAATAAATATAGCGCGGTGTAATACCGCGCTATACCTTTTTGTGGGCCCACCAATAAGTCTCATGCGATTAACTGACATAACAATAATTCAAATACCGCGCTATACATCAAAAAATTCAGTCCCCCGAGCTAGGCATTGCCTTATTTAAAGGCGTTAGGATTTTATGAAAATCCATTCAAAAAATATTCTAACTTCCGTTCAAACTTTTCTCCTTGTTATCAAGCATTTTTTATAATGTCTGAAGAGCGAAAAATAAGGGTTTCATTATATTGGGGGGTGAGGTTGTAGCAGAGAATAACTCTGTGAGGTATAGTTTATCTCCACAGTGTCATGTTAAATTGCCGCTTACAATGGAGTACGATGCAATGGTATCGTTGTTACATAACAAAAATGAGTATGAGGAAACGTTCGGTGAACCTTAAAGTAACCGGTAGATATTCGTATTCTGTGACTCCGCAGGGGTTAGCTTGTTATTCTGAGTTTAACATCGAAGATGATGAAACTCTGAGAGATTTTTTGCAGATTCCGGATGAATACAGGGAATTTATTGTGATAAAATTGTTGAAAATGTACGTCAAGGCTGAAGACGTTCGCAATAATGAGATTGCGCAAAGCAGGGATAACCCCCAGTCATCGGGTGGTTATTCTGGAGCAATTTTAGCGCAACAGCTTCCGGCTGAAAGAGTTTGGCCGGATCTTAACTTATCTTCGCGGGCGAACGAGGAGCGAGGAAATAATTTCTCTCCTACTTTACATAATCCACAAGACGACTGGTAAACTTCAATTTTCCTTTCTGTTACGATGTTTATTTTTTGTTGAATTGAATTTGTATTAACACTCATATTTTTCACAGGCGGTACCGTCCGGATATGAACTTTATAAGTTATGACCCCACGCCCAGTTGGAATATGCGTAGTTATGGCGTATTGGATCACGGTGGTCCATCCGGGAGTCATCACCAACAGAAAAATGTCCATCATGGAATGTCAACACAATACGACTTGTAAGTGAAGTGATATAGCTATATGTAAAATATTTATCAATTTGAGTAGCTTATCATTTTGTTCATTTTGTGCAGTGAAAACGAGCAACTTGATGGTCCTGATCTCACTCAGTTGCCCGTAGACGACGTATTTACTCGTGATTTGGCAGATGCACAGAGTCAGGAAGATAATAGTGATTATGACAACAATGCCGATGAATCTGGAGATGACACACCCTTCCCTGACGAGGGTGATGAGGAGGAGGAAGTGACTGTCGAACCTGAGCTGACGAGGGAGCATGCTCCTCCACCTCCCGTTAGACCAAGAGTGTACGAGTCCCACATGCCGTTTCATGAGCGGAATATTCCCTACCTTGATAATTTGCCAAGTATGTCGGATGTGGATGCCCTCATAAGGGATATTGACGAATTTCGGTCAGCAATGTGGGATGAGTCTAGACCAACGGTGATGGCAAAGGGCATGTATTTTCCCGATAAAGCTCGCTTAACTAGGGCTGTAAAAATGTACAGCGTAAGAGAGTGCCGTGAGATGGTGGTATGGGAGTCAACTTCGGAGGTATACAAGGTCAGATGTCGTAGACACTTTATGGGTTGTAACTGGATGTTGCGTGCGATCAAGAAGGAAACAGGGTTGTGAAAAGTGGATAAATATATTAGCACCCACAGATGTGAAATGGACACATTCAATGAGAATCACTTCAACTTGGATGTAGACTTGATTTCTCTTGTCTTGATTCCACACTTGGAAGTGTCCATTAGGTACAAGATCAAAGAGTGTATTACATCCGTCCACCGGGAATATGGGTGTACTATAACCAAAAGAGAGGCATATCTCGGGCGCAAACGTGCATTCGAAATTATTTATGGTGACTGTGATAAGTCATTTTCATCTCTACCCAGGTACATGGCCACTTAAACACTTTAACCCCGGAACTGTTATTGAATGGAGGCATGAACGGAATCCGGAAATACCGGAATATATATTCAGATACGTGTTCTGGGCATTTAAACCAGCAATTGATGGTTTTGTGCATTGTCGTCCGGTAATTTCCATAGACGGTACTCATGTCTATGGAAAGTATGATATTAAGCTGTTCATCGCCGTTGCAGTAGATGTCAATGGACAAATATTTCCACTAGCTTTTGCTATTTGTGCCAATAAAAGCGAAGAGACGTGGACGCTATTTTTGAACCACTTGAAGCAACACGTTGTCAAACAGCGTTCAGGTATTTGTCTAATCTCTGATCGGCATGGTGGTATTTTAAGTTCTGTCCGGCATTTGCCTGAATGTCAGGAACCCTATGCATACCACCATTACTGTGTGAGGAACGTGAAGGACAATTTCCAGAAGAAATATCCCACCAAGGAATTGCATGATTTAATGTGGATGGCTGCAACTGAGCACCAGCAGTGCAAATTCAGGAGGCGCATGGAAGCGATCTGGCAGTTAGACGAAAGAGCCTATAATTGGCTGATGGGACATGAGCTTCACAAGTGGACATTGCATGCTGATGGTGGCAGACGATGGGGAGCCGTGACTACAAATGTGTCGGAGTCATTCAACGGCTTATTGAAGTCTGCACGTGGATTGCCTGTCACTGCCATGGTCCGGATGACATTCAAACAGATGGCGGAGAGGTTTGTTGAAAGGCATAGAGCTGCATCGGAATTGATGGACAGGGATGTTGAATTTATGCCAATACCGATGAGAAGATTTGAGAAATACAGAAGCGAGCACATTGGCATTCATATTTACAGTATGATCATGATCGGGGTATTTTTAAAGTTCGCACCGCTATCCGCGGACACCGAGGGAATAATCTACACACCGTGAATGAAGCCAGCAGGTTGTGTTCGTGTGGGAAATGGACCATCTACCACATACCGTGCGCACATGCCATGAAGTGCTTTCAACAAGTTGGTTTAGGGGCAACCAACTATGTTGATAGGCAATACAGTGTTGCTGCATACGTAAACACATATAGTGGGCAGTTGTAGCCATTGGGTGCTGAGCATTATTGGTCGCTGGAACCATTTAAAATGTTGTGTAACAAAGACTATTTGCGCAAGTTGCAAGTGCAAAAGAGAACGCGTATACGGAACCAAATGGATGTTAGTGATACCGTTTATGCGCGTAAATGTGGCATATGCTCACAAACAGGACACGACC